CATTTTTTTTATCAATTATTATTCTATTATGGTTATTTATACATTTACAACTACAAAATGCATTTTTCAGTGTTTTCCTTACTATAGTTATTTTTTTTTAATGTACTACTTAGCTTTAATTTGAGTGTGTTTTTCATGTTGGAATGAATTATTTGGTTCTACATGTAATCGTATGGGGAAAAATGATTCACCTTACAACATTTTCATGATATGATCTCAGTTTCAGAATGGATTAATTTCGTATCCTGAGGTACTACTGTAACTAAAATGTTCAGATAATTCAAAATATGCATACAATGAAATTTGAAGTCATTATCTGGTCCAGTGACCTGTAAAAATATCATTTAATTCAAAATATTCCATCCTATTACATGTATATAAGAAAGTTTCCTCACCCAAGTGACAGTTTCAGTTTCAATTTTACCAATTATACATTGTTGATTTATTGGACATTAAAGGTTATTTGGACATTATATGCTTTGCCAATGAAGAAAGTTTTTTTTATTTTTTTACGGAAGAAATCCGTTTGGCATTTAATTATTTCGGACAATTTTTGCAAAAATCTATTGTTTCAATAATTCAAAAGTTCATTAAATACATGTGCATATTCATGATAGAATGCATATGTATACCTTTAGCTATAAATAAAGCTTGTTTTCATCAGATCACATGATTTTTGAATCTTGGATTCGAGACAAAATTTGCAGTAATTCTTATTGAAGCACTTAAGCTTCTTTTATATGTTATTTTCAGCTCTTGGTTTGAATATAGTTTGTTTATGTTTTCATTAAGTACATGCTAACTGATGGTTTTCCAAAATAGTTTAAATTACTAGGCATTAAATCATAATATTAATGCATTTGTAAATAAACAGGTAAAATTATATAAGATAATGTATTAATTTTAATTTTGTGTTAATGTGTTTTAATTTTATTCAAGAATCACAAAAACCTTCGATTCAGAAAAAAGTTTGGATAATTCAAAGTCATACTTTTTTTTTGTTTTTATATTTTTCAATGTATTTATTTTGTTTGTAAAAAATAAAGAAATAATTTTTAACGATACAATAGCCACAATTATTATTTTAAAAAGTTTACATTAGGTTTAACATCAACAAAAATTCAATGCAAAGCGACACGCAATGGAGAAAAATTTCAACATGGGATAGGTTAATATTTTTTTCGTACATAATCGGTTATCCAAAAAATAAGTTATCCGAACAACCCAAGTTCCCAATTGATTTGGATAAATGATGCTCTACTGTATAATGAAACAAACAATTGATTGGATGGGCTACATTTATGGGCTTGGATTGAGCATCACTTGGCTATTTACAAATCAAAAAATTTTTTATGTGACTTCAGAAAAAGGACTTTCATGCTTGCGAGATGGTGTTAGCATCCTTGTTATTTAAATGGCTACAATGACACTTGAAATATTGTGTGTCTATCTGGCAATAGAATGTTTGTTATGGCACTGTTGTATGGCTGTTGTATCCTTCAGTACAACAGTAAGGTCCGTGAACCAATTTAGAGCCATTATTGTAGATGCATTGAAGTTAAGGACTATTTAATGAACTGTCCTCTCTAATCAATTGTTTGTTCCATCAAAATTAAACTAAAATCAAAGTTTTAGTTTAATTTTGTGTTTCTTTAATAAAAAAGTTATAATTTCCTATTTTAAAAAATATAATACTAAATTATTTGATAATGTTTTTATAATGATCAGCATTTATTAATACATGATTATTTTGCTATATTTTTTGATGTGACACAGTTTACTCTGAATATTAATTCATAAATGTAAAATTTGGCAATTAAGTTTGGGACAATGAATTTAAAGAAAATTATATAATATTGCTTAAAATGATCTTGAAAAGTACATTTTTGTACTTTCTCATAGAACTCTAGAAAACATTTTAAAACTTAATTTTAGACTACTACCATCAACCATGCCATATTTTTAAAATGTCCTCTGTATTGTTAAATTATTTCTTTGATTTTATAGAACAAGAAATAATCTGTGGAAGATAAATCAGAATTAGTTAAGTTATTTAATCCTATATTTCACCATAAACAATTTTTGCATTACTACATAATTTCATACTGCAACCAAATTCTGTAATGAAACTAACTCCCCTTTTTTTGAAACTGATCCTTAAGTGAAACATTTTAATCAAACAATCCAAATTTGTATACTGATGATAATTACCTTATACAACGGAACAAATGTAGTCTTACAACTTATTTGAAAATCTCACAAAATTATGTAAACATTTACTTATTTTATAAAGTTACCTTAAGTTTTAATTTTTCATAAATTTATTTTAAATCTATAAAAAGTTCATATTTCCTTACAGTTCCAAAACCAATGACATTCTGATCAACAATAAATTTCTGTGGATATATATTTTCAAGATACCACTGGAAACTTTTGCATTTTAATCGCTGACGTAAAAATTGTCTCTCTGCAATATCACCATAATCAATTTCCTACAAAGAAATTAAATTGAAATTATTCTCAAATTATTTTAAAACAACATTATTAGTAAAATGAATTTAACCATTAGAAAAAATGTTTTAAATTCATTTATCAATATTAGTGAACATGATTTATTATTATTAATTTTTTATTAATAATATTGAATAAAAGAAATTTTGAATTATTTAATGCTTGATAATTAATTTCAAATAAATACTCATAAAAATATTCATACAAATACTTAATATTAAGAAATAATTCAAAAAGTAGATTTGTTATACAATACCACACAATCAGCTTAAAACATATTAGTAAATATATTAAAAATTAATAGAACATAAGTTTGAGAAGTCCACTTTTTATTCTTCACGAATGTTTTTAAAACTATTCGATATTGATTTAAAAACAAACTGTTATTCATCTGAAATACTTAACCTCAGAAGTACAATTTGTTCCATGCAATGAAAAAGATATCTTGACCTAAATTGATAACACTTAAATGGAGTGTATCCAGTAAGTTTTCAAGGGATGCTGCTTAGGACAGCTAAGAAATTATTAATATGGACTTATAACTGTATAATTGTTTTTCCTTTAATTACGTAAAACTTTTATGACTTGTGTAGCACATGAATTGATGTTTCATGTATGAACATTCACAAAGAATAAAAATTAAACTTCTCAAATTTATGTTTTTTGTTTTCAATGTACTTGCAAATTATTAATAGAAAAACTGTCAAGAATTAATGAATTAATATAAATAATATTTTTTAAATATATTAAATTATTAAAACAACTGTTAATAATAAAATATTAACAAGTTTATAAATGATACTACATATATCTGATGGCAGCTCATTAGAACAGTAATCATAAAAATGTATAAAATATATGTACTGTATGTTCATTTTGCAATTTTGTATTTTATTATGTTTTACAAATGATGTTAACTGACTTGTTATATACAAACAAAATAATTCCTATAACATAAAGTAAGTGTAATAAGAGCATATATTATAGAATAATAATGATAAAATATATGAATTTTTAAATTTAATTTTATATATTTTCATTTTGAAAGTATACATAGTAAAATGGTAATTTTCATTGAAAGTTATACATTTTGAAAGTGTATTTTTAGAACTGTTTCAAGTATACATCATTTAATTTCATAATATTAAAATATCAAATTAACAGTATCAAAGAAAAACATTATTATATTTGTTATAATTCATATAATAATAAATTGATGCATTAGAAACTCTAACATTCAATTTTTTTTTCATTGTCCTGACCTCTTTTTTTTTTATTAAAAAAGGGTAAAAGAACAAATAAAATGAATTAAAATATAAAAACTCTAAAAATTCTAATAATAAATATTTTAAAAGAAAAAATTCTTTACAAGAGACAAATTATATTAAAAAACATTTTAGTTATATTTTCCAAAAATATATTTTTTTAAGATGGTAAAATTAAAATAAATTCAATAATATAATTTAATTTATTACATAATTGATATAAAATATGAAAACAATAGTAAATATTTAATGCACTTACCTTTAAATCTGGTCTATGCATATAAAAATATTCTTTATACTGATCCATCCAAACTTCAACAGTTCGAACTGTATTAATTCCATGAGTATCTTTATTGCCTGGGAATTTATATGGATGGAAATTTCGAAAGATATGACCAACATGAGAACAAGGAACTATTTCTAATGTTCCACCACACATCCATACCTAAATATACATACATTTGTTTTATTAGTATTTTTATATATATTGCTAAGATATTACATAGATGTAAATATAACTAACTTTACTAAACTCGATATATTGCAATAACACACCATCAACTGCCGTAAATCATCAGGCTATAACTTGGCAATAATAATAATAAATTACAAATAAATTTGGCTCTAGAAGGAGGCATTAGGCACCGTCTCGTAGCTTGATGATTTACGGAAGTTGATGCTGTGTTATTACATAGATGTTTTAATAATTTTATTATTCTGTCTTATTTATTAATTTTATATAATTATAAAATGAGAACAACACATTCTTTTTGTATTAAAATTACTGTAATTTAAAATTAGTTTTACAAATATTAACTTTATTGATTCTTCTATTACCTTGTTGTAAACTATTATATTTATATTCTACAGTATGTTTCAATTTAAAATAATATACATAAATGTTTTTTAAATTGAAGATGAATTGAATTAAATCATTTATATTTATAAAATTTCAATACAGCATTGTAATTTTCTTAAAGTAAGAATATTTTGATTATTAAATTAATATTTATGTTTATACACTCCTCAAAAGTGAAATCGCAACACCACAAAGAAATGTGTGTAACCATATGCACATTGCAGGACCAGTAGTGATAAGAGACAGATGCAAATGATTAAATGAACAAAGATATGCAACAGACACCTGTTTATTATACCCATATTATACCCATGGGCAGCTATTATACAATATTATACCCATGGGCAGGTATACAAGCTGCTATATCAATGAGTCAATTAATGGCTGCCTGAGATATTCCTTGCCAAGCTGCATCCACCGAGGTATGTATGTGGCAGTGGTCTCTTGTACACCTCACATCAGATGAGGTCCCACAGACATTCAATGAGAGATCCAGCAAGGCTGATGGTAGGGAAAGATGTGAATTCCATTCAGGCTGGTAAGTTTCCTGTGTGATTTGTGACTGGGCATGGTCTTGCTGGAACATAGTGTTGGGTGTGGCCTGCACCAGTGGACAAACCAAAGGTCCCACAATTCTTGTGATGTACTTGGTTTGTGCATTAGGGCTATCTACTGACTGAACACAATGTGTCTCCCCAAACCATGAGGTCCAGTGTGACACTTGGCAAAAATGTAGCATTCCCTGGGATATCACAACACCCATCATTCCTCCACAGACAGAAATGGGATTCACCTGTAAACAATACCTGATTCCATTCAGCGATCCACTTGTGATGGTGACAACACCACACCAGAAGTATAGTCCTATGTCAAACAGTTAATGGCACCTCTGTTGCTGGTTGCCATGCATGCAGCCTGACTTCATGCAATCAATTGTGAATGGTTTGGGTGGACACAGATGTACCCATCGATGGTAATAGTCATCAGATATCATATGCCATGGCAAACGGGTTCAGTAATTTGCTGGTCTGTGCACTCATATCAGTGAAATCCACTCCCTATTCAGCACATTAGCAGATCTATTGTGTCATGCATTGCTGGATGGTACTCAGGTTATGCTCAACATGTGTAGCAACTGTGCACATTGACAAACTGAGGTCGTACAGATCCAGGATAAGGTCTCATTCTCTAATCATTAACTGGTGGTATTCAGCTCGCTGTTGTCTCCAAGGCATTTTCTACACTTTGAAAGTTCAACTGCCATGAACAGTTGCTGATAACATTTACAGCCCAAGCTGGCTGCTAGTCTTAATAGTCCAGAACTGAATACCACACGACCTGATGTGTATGCAAACTTAATCATTTGTATGTCTCTGTAATCTCTACCAGTCCTGCAATTTGCAAATGGCTACATGCATTCCTTCATGGTGTCATGATTTCACTTTTTAGGAGAGTATGTATATATACCTCATATATATAATACAAGCCAAAATCTGAATCTTATCAAATATATGTCTAAATCTCAAGGGTATTTTAATATTATTTTCTAAATCATCATATTTTTTTGACATTAATTAATTAAAAATTAATTGTAATATGGCCCAAAATAATCTAATGATTTTTATTTTGATATATAAAACATAAGTTGTTTTTTGATATCTATGTTTTCCTCATGTTAAAATAATTTTTTGCCTGTAAAACAATAATTAATGAATGAATGGATAATGTTAAAATATCAAAATTTTATAAATTAAATAAAATAATTTTAAAAGTTTCCAATAAATGTTATTACTAAATATAGAATTTAAACTTCAATTAATTTCAAACTTTTACCCTGAAAGACATTTCCAAGTTTTCACCACCCCAAATATCCATTCCAGAATCATAACTACCAATTTCCCAAAAATACCTTCTATCAATTGCAAATAGTCCCCCTGCCATCGTGGGTGTCCTAAAATAAATAAAAGCAAACAATTAACTTTATTATTTATATATAGTCATAAAGCAAAATATGGCTGTTTTGAAATATTGTACTTATATGATAAGTTTTTATTTTATTAAATATATAACTTTATATATTTAAATAAGTAATCATTAAATTATTAAGATGTCTTTCTTAATATTAAGTTAATACTAATTTAATAAAATCATGTTAACAAAAATAATAATAATTATTGTAATTATTACATCTTTAAAATAACTTTTTATTTTAATGTTTTGTTACATATAAGTTACATATTGTAAGTTGTATTTGCATAAAGTAAGTATTATATTTTATAACATTATCTTATTACAGATAGAAATTATTTATTTTACATGTGTATTTATTTATTTGTTATATATAATGCTATATACACCTATGACTATAAGTGTATATACCTATGACTATAAGTGTTTCTGTCTAATAACAATCTCTATTAAAAACTGATGGGCACAATCATCTCTTCTTGAAACAGGATAACCTCTCAGAATAATGTTTTTAAATGCATAAAACAATATACTTAGGATTATAAAAGAACCAATTATCTTGAAACACAGTTATTAAAATATTAAACTAATAAATTTTTAAATTATTATTATGTGCACTTCTTTATAAATGCATTAAATACTGCCTGATAGTTGGCCAACTAAATTTCACAAACATCTGCAGACAAGAAAATTTGTTACATGCAACCTAGCACTAGGTCTAATAAATACCATTTCAGAGTATTGATAAGTATAAACAATATTTCTGGATATCTATCTATAACTGTAGTACTGTGATATGAAAATATCCATGATTTCTATTGGTAGCAAAGTTATAACTGCTACCAATATTGGTGTGGCTTATTGTCTGTATTCATAATTGAAGAAAATGCTAGGTTACAGTTAAATGATATTACATGTAAGGCATTTACAGGTTAGTGAAAATAATTAATTAATTTCTTTCCCATCCAAGTTCATGATCCCACTAAAATCTATCCTCAAACCTTCAAGAAGTCCATGAACCCTAGGTTAAGAACCATTGCCTTAAATAGAATTGGCACTGCCAAATTAGCAAAATTATTTATGAGATAATTATGAACTTAATTTGAATTTTATATTTAAAATTAAAAATTTAGTTCATTAATATCAATTAACAATTAAAAATATTTTAATAACTAATTTAATATTAATTTTATTCAAAATATTTAAAGTACTGAAAACAAAAATACTTTAAATATAAACTATTCTGTCCTAACAAAAAAAAAAAATATGGTCTTTTAGTGTTCTCTGAGTGGAAAAAAGGCCTAAAACCTTACACAAAAAAGTAGATTTGGAATAATATGCAATATTTCCATGAACTTTAATTCTACTATTTTATTATTTTATTTCAATTCTACACCTTAAGTTTTCAAATATGCTATTATGATTAGATACTAGATAGAATGTTACAGAAAAATTAATTAGTCAATAATTATAGAAAACATAGAAATAATACATATACAGTATGTTAATTCTAATGATTTTAAATACCGTGTTGGAGCAATAGCACTTCCTTTTCTATCTTCTTCCCATTCTGGTATTTCAATCCATGTAAAATGGCCATTCCAATTAAAACCACCAATTTGGAAATAATCTCCATTGCTGCTATAATATTCTAATGTTTTATCATCAATAACATCAATGATAGGACAAAGCACAGCTTTTCTGTCTTCTTTAATTCTCTGAAGAAGTGGTTCTAGCCTATGTATTTGTAAATTATCAAATAATTATTAATGATTAAATAATAATAAAATCAATTTGTTAAATAGTTTTTAAAGTTACCATTTCTCATTTGCTTCACAATGGGAATCAAGAAAGACAAGTACATCACCAGTAGCTAAGTGTGCTCCTGCTAATCTTGCCCTAATTAATCCTTGTCTGTCAGGCATTCGAATCAATTTTACCTTTTCTTTTGGAAAATGTTTTTCTATATATAGCTGCAATTTTTCTTTTAACTCCTCTGCAAATATGAAAATAATATATTAAAATTTCAGTATTATATAGTACCAAATTTATTTATCATCATAATTATATTAATGCTAATAAATAAGCAGAAAACTTTTCAAGTGTTTTAACTTAAATAGATTCTACTTCACAAATTTAAAACAAATAATTAATTTTTCATTTTTTTTATTCTAAACAAAAATTTAAACTGTACAATTTTTAAAATTCAAAAGAAAATTTACATATATAGATTATCAAAAATAATTACAAAAAATATAATCTAAATATTTATAGCTCATATATATGTAACAAAATATTACAATTAAAAATAATTTCTTTGTAATATTACTAAACTTAATTTTAACAAAAATCTTGTAGTAAGCAGAAATATTTATATATTCAATTAATTTGGTCTATTATGAAAATAAAATTTTCTTGTAAATATTATTTTCTAAAATATATCTATAATAGATTATTTTTAATCCTTATATTGCATTAAAATTAACTTAAAATTACAATTTCATAAAAATCTGAAAATAATAAAAATAGGATATAATACATCATTTCTTACAATTTAACGATAAAAATATTTTAATATCTAAACATTTCTCTATGTATTTCTATTCTGGATAATGACCATTCATAGATATGTGTGACATTTTAGATGTTATAATTGATTTCATATTGAACCACAAATAAAATATTATAAAAAATAATATGAACTTTCTCAAAATTTCAATTAAGGTTCATAATCTTGAAAAATATCAATTATTTGAAGTAATTAACATATTTGTTGGATTTTATTTCTTTTTTTTTTTACTTACACATTAGAAAGTTTAATATTAGCATTATAATACTGCTAAGTAATTAAATACACTGAATAATAAATTTTTTAAACACCATTACACTGGCAGTTTCATTAAAGCATATGATATATATCTTTATAAATTTATATAGATAGATTTATTTATATGAAAAATTTTCTTATGATATAATTATATGAACAACAAAACAGATAATCAGCTGATAGTTAAAATAACCATCAACAGTTTAAAAAAGTAATTCATACTTTTTACTTATATTTTCCTATTAAATTTGAATTTTATTCTGAAAACTCAAACGTGAATTAATAAAGTTAAATATTAAGTCAAATGCATTACAAAATACATTTATTTACACCGCATAGTTAAGAAATTTGTTTGTTTTCCAAAATTCTTGAAATTAACTTAACTCCTGAATTAAATTATATTATTAAGTTCTCATTAATCCAAATGGTTATTATGTTCATCTATAAATTTATCAAATATAGTACTGTATTTAATATGGATAACCTACAAGTTATTCACGAAAAATAAACTTGAAATTAGATGTTAATCATGTAATGAAATGGCTTAATTTTTTAACTTTCCAACATTACCAAACATTATCAAATATTTTAAAAAATTTCAATAAATTATAAAAACAAGTTCATAACAATGAAATAATTCCTTAATTCAATTGGCAATGTAACCTTTCACAATAGACTTTTTCTTGAAGGCTATTGCTAAAGTAAGAATTTTTATTCTCTGTATAATCAACTTCCTTCAACTAAAGGGAGAACAAAATATTTAAGTAACTTTTTCTTTCTCTAAAATCATCAAAAGCATTTTTGGAAACTAAAAAATCCTTTGCATGCCAAAACATTTTATCTTATTTGTAATGCATTTCTTTTGAATAAGATAAAAATATTTCTTTAAAAATATCTTGAATCTTCAATGAATTTCTTAACTATTTTTTTCAGTTATTTTTTATAGCATTTCCAGCATAAATTTTTGTATCTACTAGTACCATATTATATTTGCTAGTATCCACTAGTAATATTGTGCTTATGAATTAACAATAGGTAACAAAATATATTTTTGTCATTATGCAGTTTACAAGATTCTATATCAAATATTCTATTATTTCTATTTAACTTATAATCACATCTAAATAACTCTAAATGGAACTGAAACAAATAATTAAAAATATTTGAGATAGTATATTGTAAACTTCATACTAGTAAGTGCCATGTTTCAATGCCACTTCAGATGTGTAAGATACACAGTGGTGTAGTTAGTTATTTGAAGATTTTTATTTCAATTCTAACAATTTTATAAACTTGTATTTTAAACTTATCTACATATAAATCAGTATTTTCAATGGAGATTTTTATGTGTTACTTAATAAAGTGATTTAACTATATATTTTACTGGTATATTTAATATTGTCAATAAATACTTATATAAATAATACAAATAAATAATTAAAAATAAATTTTCATTGGCAAGATTTTAAAATTAACATAATTAAATTTTGTACAACTCAAACTACTGTTTCTGAAATAAAAACTTTTAAAAACACTACAAACCATTTTTGAAAATTTTTATTCCAGAAAAAGCAATTTAGTTTGGATTTTATATTTGAAACATTTTCATAACACGTCATCAAAATTTTGCTCAAATAAAATTTTAAGAATTTTTTAAAAATGTTCCAGTTAATTTACTTAAAAAAAAAAATTAAATTTCTCTATTTTCCTAATTCAAAATTTTCAATAATTTCCTTATACCTTAATTAAATCATAAGAAATCTTGGAGAAATATCATTTGTATAAGTTGCAACATAAATTAAAATCATTTTTCTAAAAATATACAATCCATTTTTAACATTATTTACAAAATAAGATAATCACAGTTTTTTTAAATTTTATCTAGAAATATCAGATTAAAATCAAACCTCTATCACTGGCATCATCAACTAAAATAATTTCTTTTAAAAGGTGATTAGGTGTTCGATTCAACACACTATAAATCGTCCTCAAAAGTGCAGACCATATTTCATTTGTAAATATAATTACCACAGATGTTGAAGGTAAATCCTTATCATACTTAGTACTTTTACACCTGTAAAATATATTTACAAAATTTTGTTAGCTTATATTTTTAAATATAAAAATTATAAACAATTAACTAATTCTTAATTACAAAATAAAAATATAAAAAAATGTAGATGAATGTAGTAGTATTGTAGTATTGTGTTTATCTAAATTCCTTTCTAAATTATATTTTATTTTTCTAAACTATAATTTTAAATATTCATAATTTAATATCTAATTTTAAAATAGTTTTACAATTAAAACTTTTATTTATGAAAAAATAATGGAATGATGGATTTTAATTTGATATATTTCTAAAATATACCATACTTATGTAAGACTAAAGATTATTGAACAAGTCAAACTTGTTTTTAAAGTTGAAATATTTTAAACTATTACATCCAATTTTGGTATTCTAAAAATCTGCATTACAAATTAGATTTTTAGAATTTTTAGAAAATATTGGAAATAGATGCTGAAGCCAGAAAACAAATGTAAAAAATATTTTAATCATTTCTACAACATACAATTTTAAAAGTCAAAACTGTTGTAAATAATGTCAATTGTAATCAAAACTATTGTTTTAGTTTTACTCTAATTCAAATTATAAAATCAGAAATTAGAAATCAAAAATATATGAAAATATTAAAACAGTTTTTCAGTCTCTGTTGATAGTGAATCTAAAAAAAATCTTAAAATTAATATTCTACAAAAACATAATAAAAGACTGTTTTATATCAAACAAGACTTATTGTAATAATTGTTACACAAATTACGTATTTTCTAAATATTATATTTAATGCATAAATCAATTTACAATGTAACAAAAATAAATAATTTAGTAATTACATTAATTAATTAAATAATTCAGAAGAATTTAATAAATTTCTGTGATAACTCTAAATGCACTAATGAAAAATATATATTCTATAAACTATATAACTCAGCACTTACATGTTAATGTTTTTTTTTATAATTTACATTTGATAAATCCCGTATGATAATTATTTTATCTCAACTGCATACATTTTTTACTCATTCTATTCAATAACGTCTTACCTGTTATATGTAAATTAGGTTGTTATAGGTTACAGAATTATTAACTATTTAAAAATAAAACCAAGTCAAATTAATTTAAATACTTCAATAAAATGATGATGTAATATACTATATATTATTGTAAAAGTTTGTTATAACCATAAACAGTCTTAATCAATTGTTGTATAGGTAAATTTAGAATTATGAATTTTGCTAAAATATTTTTAAAAGCCTAGAAATCTAAATATAGAAAAGATAAGTATAAATCATCATTGAATATTTTCCAAAAAAGTGGTAAGGAACATTATATATTTTCAATGTTGCCGTCACGTGCATATAAATACAAAATTTATCAGCAACCATTAGATTGGGTTAACTGAATGATAAAATATTGAACTAATTTCCCAAGTATTTATAGTTCAACTTCATCACTTTTTAAATTTAAATGTTTTGGTTATATTTGTTCAATTGCTAGATTTAAAGACATAAAAACAATGTACTATCTCCTATATTGCATAATTTATGTTTACTTTGTTAATTGAGGCACCATAGAAATATTATGCAACATTTCAAGAATAAAAATATTACATATTACTAAAATTGCATTTTAAAATAGATTTAATTTACTACAACGTTGGTTAATATAGCTATGAATATTTGTTCATATGTTAAACTGTTAATAAATCAAAAAATATTTTTTTGTGATAAATTTTGTTGATCTGTTTTAGGCCATCTTCAGTTTACATAGAATTCTTGAAAATGATACATAGTTTTCAAACTTTATACAACCAAACAACAGTTTTGAGTAATATTTATATTTTAAATTTAATTTAAAGTATTATAAAATAATCTTTAGATTGAACAATTGCTTACAAATACCACTTTTCTGTTCCAATGATAAAGTCACACCATATGGGTTGTTATTCATTTTGTTAAGGAAATATTGAGCGCTATTACTATTCCTCCAAATGATGAAAACATTATCAACGTATCTTGCAATGATAAAAACATCATCAACATATCGTGATGGATTTTAAATCCTTATTTCCATCTATAAAATTACCGCCTTGCTTTTGCGAGCTGAGAGACTTCCTTCTTACTAACATTAATAATGCAACGAAGTATCACCAACACATTTTAGAGCTTGCACACCTAATTTATTATACTTCGTTTTTTGTATTTGAAGGGAACACATTTACAAGAAAGAGGGGTCATAATACTAGTTCACACAATAACGGGGATATCGGACTCCCCATTATTGTGTGAACTAGTATTATGACGATTAGAAAGTAATGTACTGCCCGTCTTTATAAATGACATACTTATATATGCAAGATACGTTGATGATGTTTTCATTATTTGGAGGAATAGTAATAGCGCTCAAACTTACAAATATATCAGATTGTCAGATTACTGAATTTTGTATGCATGTATGTACTGTACAGTAACAAATACACACTTGGTTCATAGATTAGTTAATTACATTAATCATGATTGTGACTGTTTTGAAGACTGCACATGCAATAAACATCCAGTATATTGTATACAAGTACAGTACTGTACTGTACTGTACATGTCACATACATCAAGTGGTAATATGAAAACTTCATGTGAGTGCTGAATTACTAGATGTGTTGGGCTAGTGAGACTATTGTACTGTACATATGTTGTAAAAAATAACAAAATAATTGTATAACATTAATTTAAAATAGTTATTGGGTTGCAACATGAAAAAAGCTGTAGACCTATAAATTTCCACTGTTATCTGTCCATCTGTCTTTCCTTATTCTTGAGAATGGAGTTAGATAGATGAAATCTGAGACCAGATACAGANAAATCCTGTATGATAATTATTTTATCTCAACTGCATACATTTTTTACTCATTCTATTCAATAACATCTTACCTGTTATATGTAAATTAGGTTGTTATAGGTTACAGAATTATTAACTATTTAAAAATAAAACCAAGTCAAATTAATTTAAGTACTTCAATAAAATGATGATGTAATATACTATATATTATTGTAAAAGTTTGTTATAACCATAAACAGTCTTAATCAATTGTTGTATAGGTAAATTTAGAATTATGAATTTTGCTAAAATATTTTTAAAAGCCTAGAAATCTAAATATAGAAAAGATAAGTATAAATCATCATTGAATATTTTCCAAAAAAGTGGTAAGGAACATTATATATTTTCAATGTTGCCGTCACGTGCATATAAATACAAAATTTATCAGCAACCATTAGATTGGGTTAACTGAATGATAAAATATTGAACTAATTTCCCAAGTATTTATAGTTCAACTTCATCACTTTTTAAATTTAAATGTTTTGGTTATATTTGTTCAATTGCTAGATTTAAAGACATAAAAACAATGTACTATCTCCTATATTGCATAATTTATGTTTACTTTGTTAATTGAGGCACCATAGAAATCAATTGTAATCAAAACTATTGTTTTAGTTTTATTCTAATTCAAATTATAAAATCAGAAATTAGAAATCAAAAATATATGAAAATATTAAAAGTAAATTGTTAATTGAGGCACCAACATTTCAAGAATAAAAATATTACATATTACTAGAATTGCATTTTAAAATAGATTTAATTTACTACAACATTGGTTAATGTAGCTATGAATATTTGTTCATATGTTAAACTGTTAATAAATCCGACAAAATTTATCACAAAAAATATTTTTTATCTGTTTTAGGCCATCTTCAGTTTACGTAGAATTCTTGAAAACGATACATAGTTTTCAAACTTTATACAACCAAACAACAGTTTTGAGTAATATTTATATTTTAAATTTAATTTAAAGCATTATAAAATAATCTTTAGGTTGAACAATAGCTTACAAATATCACTTTTCTGTTCCAATGATAAAGTCACACCATATGGGTTGTTATTCATTTTGTTAAGGAAATATTGAGCGCTATTACTATTCCTCCAAATGATGAAAACATCATCAACATATCTTGCAATGATAAAAACAGCATCAACGTATAATCATCATCAACATATCGTGATGGATTTTAAATCCTTATTTCCATCTATAAAATTACTGCCTTGCTTTTGCAAGCTGAGAGACTTCCTTCTTACTAACATTAATAATACAATGAAGTATCAACACATTTTAGGGCTTGCACACCTAATTTATTATACTTCGTTTTTTGTATTTGAAGGGAACACATATTTACAAGAAAGTGGGGTTCCAATGGGGAGTCCGATATCCCTGTTATTGTGTGAACTAGTATTACGACGATTAGAAAGTAATGTACTGCCCGTCTTTATAAATGACATACTTGTATATGCAAGATACGTTGATGATGTTTTCATCATTTAGAGGAATAGTAATAGCGCTCAAGCTTACAAATATATCAGATTGTCAGATTACTGGATTTTGTATGCATGTATGTACTGTACAGTAACAAATACACACTTGGTTCATAGATTAGTTAATTACATTAATCATGATTGTGACTGTTTTGAAGACTGCACATGTAATAAACATCCAGTATATTATATACAAGTACAGTATATGTCACATACATCAAGTGGTAATATGAAAACTTCATGTGAGTGCTGAATTACTAGATGTGTTGGGCTAGTGAGACTATTGTACTGTACATATGTTGTAAAAAATAACAAAATAATTGTATAGCATTATTTAAAATAGTATTGGGTTGCAACATGAAAAAAGTTGTAGACCTATAAATTTCCACTGTTATCTGTCCATTTGTCTTTCCTTATTCTTGAGAACGGAGTTAGATAGATGAAATCTGAGACCAGATATGGAAATCTTAGGGGCTGGAGGCCCAATTAACTATGTATGAATCTCTGGTGAAAACCAGAAGTCATGTTATTTCAATTCAAAACTTCCCCTGAAAGTATTAGGTTGCTCGGAAAGTAATTTCGTTTTTTTTTATCACTAGACGGATTAGACATATTTTTCCTGCCATTTTTATTCTACACTGTATTATCAT